AAAAATTAACATTTCATATTAAAATATATCTTTTATGATCGAGAAAATAGCAATACCTTAACACTGGTTTTATTATGCATGGTTGGTACAGTGGATGATATAAAAATTTTTGATTACAGCCAATTTTTAAATTATTATACTCAGTAGTGTGATCTTCATTACAAAAATATGTGTAGAAAATTTGGTAATACTTTTTTCTATCAATATGTAGTGTTTTTTCATCATAAAAGTAGTCTTAGTCGATTAAATTAATGAAATGTTTGATTATTTTTTTTATTTCGGAAAGATATTAAACTTTGAACTTATTGTTTCTTACTCAGGATGTGGACGTTTTAAATAAATATAATACTAACTGTATACACATTAATATGTATACGTAATATTTATATATGATTATTCGAAAATCGTTGCTACAGCAATAAGAGTTTAACTACTGTTACATGCTAACTACTAAATGAACGATTTCATTCTCATTTTTAATGCCCTTGTATTATCGCGTAACAAGGTAAAGAGAATGCTTCTACTCAATATCATCAAAACATCCGAAAAATTGACCTATTACTATATGCGGAAAAATATGTACAAAATGTTATATAATATGGTTAATTTGGCATACCATGGAATGTAAAAAAAGAAACAAAATATGGAGTGAAATAATTCAATTTTGAAAAAGATTGTGATGGAAGCATTCGTAGATAATTATAATTTATAGCAATACAATCCCATGATCTCTTTCCAGTCTACGTTTTGCTTTAAGAGACACAATTCCCATTAAATCTGCAGGAGTTGGAAGTCCTCCAGAGGTATTTGGAGCCACTGCTTGTTGATAAAATACCTCTACGTTTCCACACTGGTTACCATAAACAACAGTATCTTCCGTTCTAGTTAATTAATAAAATATACTGATTTTGTTACCATACTTTATGATAAATTACCATGAACATTATTTGTTAAAGTTAAAGCTACATAAACGAATTAGTAGTACATTTATGATGTAACATGTAAAGAAAAGTATATTCTAAAATTATAATAATTCTTTTTTCTGAAAATTATTAGCATTTTAGGCAGTAGTATTACTTCAACTAAGCAAAAAGATATAAATACATCTACCAAAGCAAGCTGACATATGCAAAAATATTCTAATTGAAATAAGTTGTCTAATGTATAAATAATTACCTGACAATGATATCTGTAAGATTGTTGGCATGTGTAAATCTATCATGAAGGCAAGAAACAATATCCAATTCAGTAACACCCCAGAGTCCAGAGCGATTTATTGTATCCCATTGGGGATCAGTACTTAAAATACTATATAATTCTTTATTTTCATTTGATGGTAAAGGTTCTAAACATTGTTGCAGTCTTGTTTCAAGTTTTCCTAATGTACTCACACAAGTTTGCCACTATAATGTATACATATATAATTAAAAATTTACTTTTAATACCTTACATATTAAAGATCAAAACATACTTACAAGAGAGTGTATTAAATCAGGATCATTGGCAGTTCCATTTTCCATTAACAAAACCAGCACCATATTTTGATGACCACAGAGAAATAATTCCGTTTTCTCAAGGCAAACTTCATCCTTGGAAGCAATTATCCAGTCCTCCTCTAATTCATCCTCACCATCACTACCAGTTTCTTTATTGACTGCTTCCAACTTTTGTTTAATTATTTGATTTGTTGCTGTTGAAAAGCTAGATAAATCTCGAAACTCGCTAGGTGTAGTTTCTCTGCTACAGAAACCGCTAGTTCTTTCATCAGCAAGTAAACTAAGTTTAGACATAAGAGGTGTTAATTGTAGACCATCCAATTTCTTCTTTTGAAGAAAATCATACACGTTACCACACTCTGATGTTGATTTTCGTCTGTCATCGTTGTCAGTAATGTTGAGTGGTTTTAAAGGAAGACTCATCGATCTACGACAAGTTTCTTGTTTCGCTTTATTATCTAATTTTATGTCATGAGAATTATTTGGTTCCTCTAACTTATCTGTGGTCACAGTATCACAGTTGTTTGTTACATTTTTTGCATTACAGTTATTACTCAAACTTGCTAAAACGTCGTTACGATTAATTGTGTTGTCTCGATTATCTTTAAGCTCTTCGTAATGCGAAGATATATATTGCTCATATAAGAATTGGGATACTGGTAATCCATCGTATCGAAATACAGGGTAACATGGATCGGTAATTGTATGGAATTGTCTCTTATGTAAAGCTTTCTTTTGAGGAGAAGCTTCTGGAGATATACTCTTTTTTAACTGTGGCAAACCTAATCCATATGTTCTTACTGATATTCGATTGGAGCATAAATTGGACAATTCTAAATCATGCATGCTTAAGCTTTTTTTATGAAATTCTCTTCGTTTAACTAGTTTTTCTTTTGGTGTAACATTCCTTAATTTATTTAAACGTTTACATCTTAGTGCTTCCTTAACAACATTTGGAATATCATCTACGTTTGTCTTTATCTCCTTTTTCTCTTCGTCTGTTTCAATATTTGCATCTTCATTTGTGTTACATATTAACATAGCATTACCATGTAATACTCTATTAATATCTTTTAAGGGTGTAGAGCAAACACTAGGAGTTAAAGGATTTACACATTTAGGACGGTCTGTTTTACTTTCCTGTTTACGTTTTACTGGAGAACTGTAAGCTGTAAGTGGAACGGAGGGTACATAGTGACTATTATCGTTGTACTGTGATGAATCTAATTCTCCTTCTTCAGGTACAGTAAAAATACGAGAAGTGTCACGTTTCATTCCGGACAAAGGAGGCTCTTTACTGTTCTTAGACATGTTCTAGAAATATAACCATTTTACTATTACATAACATTTAGAGTTTAACTTTATAACTGTCTTACCTTTCTTTGTAACATCTTTTTTGAGATACAATCTAAATAAGAACTATAGTATCGTTCATTATTTGCTTCTTGTACAAGTTTCGTAAATTGTTTTTGTTCTATATACACCTGTAATAACTGTACTCCAACAGGCAAATGAAATTCAGTTGATATTCTCTCTGCAGGAGCCTAAAAAAATATTTGTATGTAGGGCATAAGTGATTAACTTTAAAAACTTTTCTTACATTGTATAGGCATTATATAACATTAACATATCAAGATTTAATATACCTTTATTCTATATGGATCAGTTATAACAATTTGTTTGGTCAACTCAGCACTCAATTGTGTAGCAACTACCCTAAAATATTAATAGATTCAGTTTTTCAAATAAAAGGAGAAGAAACAATTTATTAGTAAAGGTTTTAAGTAACTTACTTATTATTATAAAAGAGTGCACCACCCATAATACCATTAGTCTCTTGACAATATTGTAAAACTTGAATTGCATCTAAAAATATATTACTAGCACTCTAAAAAATTCAAAATTTGTTTAGATTCAATTATAACAGTGAATAATTGAATATAAATGAAAGAAAAATGTATAAAATAGAAATAAAATTAGTGTCATATATTTCTTACCTTTGGAAGTTTAATAATGGGAATATTGGAGAAAAGATTGGCACTATATTGAAGTATTGGCAAATATGTTTCAAACATTTGATAGAGCTTTTCTGTAAACTTATTCCTGTCATTGTTAAATGATTCCAATATTTTATTCAAATCACAGTGAAAAAACTTTAATAATGATTCTAATGTGTTTGCACGTCTTTCTAAAATCCAGTCATGAATATTCCTATCAGTCCCCACTGCCTATAAAGTAATAAACAAAGATATACATGTGCTAAATACTAGTTAATACTAAGTGTGACACATTAAGTAATTAGAAAGATGTATTTCATTCATTGGGAGTACACTGATAATTGTAACAGCTTTAGTAGATAACAACTACTACCAAATTGTACTACATAGTAATTTTCATGTTGTATGTTTTACTATTTCTAAATATATGCAATGATATTTTCTTATATTTTTATTTCCACTCACATAAAACTTCAAATGAATTACAATCAATTATATTTATTTAGGCAAACATATGACAACAATACACTTACAAGTACATATTGTCCAAATTTCTTTAGTACAAATTTTCCTCCTTGTAATGTAATTGATTTTGGAGCAGAAAATGAAGTTGTAAGAAACTGATTAACAGCCATTAATTGACCTGCTAAAGCTAGCCTTTGGGTAAGAGACACCCATGCAGGATGAAAATACATAACTGCTTCTGCAGGATCATCATCTTCTTTACAACACCTTGCAGTGTCATAAACGAATACTATCATCATCTCTCTAAAAAAATTTTAAAATCAACATAACTTAGTCTTAGATAATATTAAGTTAGTAGTTATGTAATACCACATATAAACACACATTAATAAAAAATAAAATGAGTTTTTCCACAAATAAAGTAGCTTACCCTGAAGTAATTGATAAAATTGTTTTATACACAATTGTAAAAATCTAACAAGTTTCATTTTTAGAAAATCACAGACATAATATTAATGTCTATAACTTGCTTAGATTCTGATACACGAATGAGTTTATGAAGTAAACAATTGTGAACAGAAAATTACTGATTAGCTGCACCAGTAACCGATAACAAAATAAGTGAGATAAGATTACAGTTTAGAATACATCTTTGGAAATACTGTTGTATACAGTAGTACATTTACTATAAGAACTCACTGTATTTATCATGATTTAGTAATACTTAAAATAATTAAGAGGTTTTTCTAGTTTATTCAGTACAAGTAGTTATATGTAGTTATTGAATTGATGAGCAAGCAATGTGAGCATACTTAACTTTAGTTAAACTAACAGTCTTTATGAATAGTACCTTGTGCTATTATTAGGAACACAAAAAGGAAAATTCTATTTCGATATAATTTTAATTACTAAAAATAACATTTTATTCATACTTATATAAAATATATACAAAGTCTAAAAGTTAGCAGAAAGTTATGAATCTAACATAAATACACTCTACAGATGATATATATTAATGCAACTAATACAAAAAATGCAAATTTGTTTTATTTATACAACTTTTATACTGTGTAAAAAATAAAACAATGAAATTATAAATAAATATAAATCAGTTAATTACATGTACACACATACATACATGTATACAATATCGTAAATGATTTTTCACTAACTACGAAATAAATCTAAAATTTTAAAAAATGTATTCTTTTGGAACAAATAATGTAAAAAGATACGTAATCGTAAATTAACATAGCAAAAGTATCACGAGATACGAAAATTTCTTGACCAATAATCTATAAACTCACACCAACTTAAAATCAGCATTCTCTTTAATAAAAATTAATGATTTAAAAAGGGACATGCTGTTGAGAAAATCGGTGAATCAAGTGTAACAGCAATACAGTGTGCAGCGTGGCATAGTAAACAAAGCATTATCATTGAATTAGGGATGCACTTTCTACGCTGCTATAATTAGATAAAGCTAGCGTTACGCAATATCTTCGTACTTTGCCATGGTGATTGTTTACGCTTCAGCGTGCTGAGATTGAGACTTCAATTACGATTGTCAGTTGTAATGTCAAAACCTCTTCTCTTCGTTTTCTTTTCCCACTAGCTACGGCAAACTCAATGTCGTATTTTCCGTTCTATTCTTACTGTCGCTCACGATGCTACTGAGCGTCGCGAAAAATGCACTTCGATGGAAATGCACTTTCCCGTTATGTAATATAAAATCTGAGCCATAATAATCTTGATTTCCAATCACACTGAATGGAGCCGCTCCTTTACCGCCATGCTGATATCGATTTCCTTTATACACAGACGATATTTTGGTTCTTGATCGGTAATAAAATTACAACCGCGATATTTAAATTTTATTTGAACAAAGTCATAAGAAATACACCTGAACTATAATTATTACATAATATACTGAATAATGAAAAGCAAACATAATAGCATTATAAAACGTACATTTTTTTATTGAAGTATACATTTAATAAATATATGGTACAATAAAAATGTAAAATATAATTTACAAGAATATCAGCTTTCACAGAGTTCTTGTAAGCAATCACGAAGAATTTGTAAAAAAATATCAGCGTGATATTCTCCAAATATTAGACATGGTCTTAACCGAATTGATTTTGTCCCACAATCACCCACTTGAATACCTGATGTTCATAAATTTATTAGTGTGATAATAAGATATTAAAATTTTCAAGTGTCTATTAAAATTTTGGCTTTACCTTTACAACGCATTTGCTGGGCTATTTTAGTTTTCAAATCTTTACATGCCATATCAAATGCAATGATAAAGCCTCTACCTCGCACGGAATTTATAAGATGCGGAAATTCATGCTGTAATGTATTTAATTGACAAAGCAAATAATTACTAACATGACAAACATGAGTTAATAAATCTTCTGCCTCAATAGTTTGTAGTACTGCCTCTAACATCAGTATTTTGCTTGGTTCACCCATCCATGTATTAAATACTCTATACGGACGCCTAGGCCTACGTGAATAACATAAAAAAGTGCATGACGATTATAGGATCATATATTTAATTACTATAATAATCGACAAGTACGTTACATGTATTCAGAGGAATGATAAAATCCACTAGCTAGCATTTTATTGCTAAAGGTGACTATATTTGGGGGAGTATTTAATTCAAAATATTCATGTGCCCATATTCTTCCAGTTGCACCACCTCCTGTTTGTACTTCATCCAATATTAAAGGAATACCTTTCTGTAAAGTTAATTTACATTATAGTCTGAAATATTTGTTGCAATGTACCTTATAAAAGGTAAATATTTACTTTTTTAGTAATGTCTTGTAAGCATTGAAAGAAATCTGGAGAAGCATGTCTATCTCCACCTTCACATTGTATTGCTTCAACTATGATACCAGCAACTGGCATTGACTTTTCGTATCGTTCTATTAAATCTTCTACCTTGTAAATAACGTTTGAATACAGATTTTACCAATTTTTGAAGGAATGTTAGTTTAAATTTATAAATGTTAGATTTACTTGTTCTATGCATCGTGCATCCTCTTCCTTATTTTCTTTTTCATGCTGATCCAAAGGATAAGAATATTGTGGAAAAGGTGCAATTGGCCATGGAAGAGAAGGTAGATCAACTTTCATTATATATTTACAATGTGATAGTGCCACTGCACCAAAGGTTCTACCATGAAATCCTCCTAATTTTATAAATTTCATCAATTTATAGTGTTTAACTACACTAGTGTTTAACACAACACTATGTTAAGATACCTTTAAAAGAAAGGATAGATAATTCAGGACAACCAGGTGGTTTATTAAAGATTGCACTATTTTTTTCTTCTTTTGTGAAAGTCTCGCCTCGACGACATCTTTCTGCATATTTTATGAATGCCATTTGTATAGCATGCTCAGTTGCACAAGCACCACACATGGTTGTAAAAACACATGATAGTCCTTTTGGAGCTACCTGATGAAATAATATTACATTTGAGTAATTCCACTGATATTACCATTTGTTGTTATACCATATTTTCTTTTTAATTAAAAAATATATATGGTTTTCAACTTTATTAATTAAATATATCTTACACATGGTTGAAGCAATGTATCTTGAATTTTACATGGCCACTCTAAACCAGGAAATAAACCTAATGCTGGTCTATTTGCTATTACCCGCTAAAAATATATTATTTTGTCAGTTTTTCAATACTTTTGTTCAATAATAATTTTGAATTATATTTACTTGGTTCCCTGCACATGATAATGCAGCAAGAATAGATCTATGATTATAACCAAGAGGAAGGGTGGAAATTTGCATATACATATCTAAGAAAACATTTCCATCAATGTCTGCTAAATAATTTCCAACAGATCTTTGATAGTCTGCAAAATATTGAATGGACCCTATTTGCTGTAATATTTTATAATTATATACATATATGTTAACATACATTATTTTTTAATAAAATTTGAGTTTTATAATAGTAATGTAAACCTGAATTTTAGAAAATTCATTGAGGAGAGCATCTGACCTTGGTCCAGGAATTTCAGTAAGTGTATATGGTTTTGCAGGTTCTCCAGGTAAAGGTGCCTTTGGCACATGATGAAGTTCTATATATATATTATTTAACAAATGTAATACATCGAAACTAACAGTAATGCTTTATGTTTTTAGTATTAACCTTCAACATAGTTACTTTGTACTTACGACGAGGTTTTGGGTTCTTTCGAACAGAATACATAATACTTTTGCATAACATATTGTAAGAAAGTTTTTTTTATTATTGAATATTGTCATGAATATAGAGAATTTATGAAATTTTAATATATGTATATATGTAATCCATTCATATAAATGACATATTTTTACTTTTGTTTCAAATCATGACAGAAGAATGTAAATAACTGTTAATATAGATTCTATATAGTATTACTTGAATTTCAAACTATTACTTAAATTTATCCCCCCTTGAACAATAATAGGAATACTAATGTTAAAGTAATTTAAAACTATTTGTAACTATTCATTTATGAAGATTATTTTTGTATGCAAATAAAATTAAACATGAATTACTAAACGGTATTAATATGCTTTCTTGAAGTTTCATGAAGCCACTGTCATACAGCAGTTTATTATTTTTTAAGCAATTTAAAATTAAAAAAGGTAAATTAACATACTATGCTTTCCTCTAACTTATATTTATAGTGCAATAAAAACAACAAAGTTTATGATTAAAATTAGTACAAATATATTTATTATAAACTAGTAATATTAGATTTAGACGAATATAGTTATGTAATCACACTTTGTTGCTTTTTTCTCTTAATAGAAATAAACACCTCGTTACATGATTAATAAGCGGGCAAAGGGAAACAGAGCAGCACAAAATGTATATGGCTGCAATTTCTTCACCCAGTTTTTACACTTCAGTAGCATGCCAAAACTTACATAGCTAATATCTAATATACGTCTTAAAGTATTTCTACAATTTTTTACAGAAAAAACTTTTACTCCAATACATCGTCAAATATCGCTCCTATATAAGAAAGAAATACTCAACAGAATGATCGTAGTTTGGCTAAGTTTATTTTAAACGCATTCAAAATTTTAAGAGTATTCAATGATTTTATGACTTCACATGAATCTCGTAATAAATATTAGAGAATTAACCCTTTGAGATACAATCTGCATCTTCCGTTTGTCTCAGAAAATAAATAATTCTAGTACGGAGCATCACACTTCAGATTGGCGTACATACTTATTTCGCTCGCATTAACGCTTATGGCGAATACTTATTAATACTTCTTTCTTATTAACTTTTGTTCGTAAGTCTTTACGAATTGAAAATATTCTGAGGCAACATGGAAGAATTTCAAACATACACTAGATCTCAAAGAGTAAATTCATCGAGGCATATTTTTCGAAATAAAATTCTTTTTAAAATATTCGCTTAATTCTTTGCAATATACCGATTAAATAAACTGAGAGACAGAATTTCGAAGAACGCTGGCAGTTTAAACTCAAAATATGACAAAGAATTAAGCAGGAGAATTAAGATAAAAATGATAATATTTCAATAATTATAGATACATTCATGCATTTCTGAGGGACACTTTCAAAGTACATTCTAGCAAAGATAAAATGGAGCCTCGATAAATTAACGAGATACATATGATACGACTACTCGGAACGAGTTTACGGTAAAGCTAATGCGGTGTATAAACGTGGGCAAAGTAACGAACTATATGTATTCTGTAACTATAATCGAAAGTCGAAGGTAAAAAACAGATCAGTGCCAGGTTCTGTGAACTTTGAATTAAAAATACTGTACAAGCATTATCCTGGCAAAAATGTACAACCTGCTTTGAGCGATCTGCTTTTTTTTATTTAAACAAATGGTTGACGATCGTCAAGATACATCTTGAACCCGTGAAACATACACGTTAATGTACATACACGAAACCACGACAATTCTTAATATCAGAGAATAGATTTCCTTATGGAAATACTTTTTAGATCTTCACAGAATAAATCTGCGTGTAGTTTAATTCATAAAAGTTCTCTGATTCCTCGATTTTTAAGAGTCAAATTTACTATATACTTTCACTCATGTATTTCGCTAATGAAATATCAGAAGCGGCTTTTTCTTGCTTCCTTTTATATGGGTATGTATGATGCATGTGTGTATATACGCATATATACATATACGTATATACATATATATATTTGTTAATTAGATGTCCATGAAATAATATTGCCTTTTCATATTCTTTTGAATATAGAAACTGAATATACTTGTACATGTGCAATATAGCATAGTTCAATAATTTTCACAAATTGTAGTTTAATAGCTAAAATATAAACAATATTTTCATTAAATTCAGTTTCTTGTAATTGAGTTTTCTTTTTTTATCCTCGTCATATGAGAACCAAAATTCTATAGTCTATTCTTATAGACACTTCTATTTGGATATATACAAAGCAGGCATACCTGCTTGCTTCTTATGAACTAACATCGTACATATTACTTATAAAGAATTTTATAGAAAATTTATGTGATAAAATAACATAATAATAGTTACTTGTGAGCACAATAAACAAATTTGTACAATTTATTATGCGCTTGCTAAATAATTCTTACATCTACGTTGAGAGAAAACTTGTTTCATTTCTTATTAGATGAGATATAATGACAGCGATTGGACCATTTTCCTCTTTTTTATTGAATGGTAATGAATTTTGAAATGGTTTTTTATTTTTTTCTTTACTTTTCATGATTTTGCAAAATATATTGCATTAAATTGCTAAAAACTCACCGTTTCAAACGTTCAGTGGCATTGATTTGATATATTTGCAATTATTTTCATAACATGCACAATTACATGTATCTGATAGATTTTATACATAAATAATGACGCTTATGCAGAACATATGAATTCTGAACCACAACTTATGATGATCTGATACAAAGAATTAACAATTTTTCCTTTTTTTTTTTAAATAGAATAAACGTAACAAGCTTGTATTGCACTTTTTATGACTGTAAGATATTTGATTACATACTGCTCTTAAATTTTCTGATTCTATGCATTAAATTGTACACCTCGCTAGTATCGTTATATTAAAATAAATTTTGTTAAAAAAATTATACAAATACTGTAAATTTAATGAACTAATACTTTATTGTCATATATAAATAAACAATAGAAATGGTTATTATGAATAATATATAGTATCCGAAATTTAAATATAATTTATAGTCTTAGAATAAACGATGCTTTTACAGAAATAAGAAAAGTCATTTTTATAACATTTCTTAGTTGAATATCTAGTAGCATCTTTGTATATGTTTTGTTAAGTCTAAAATGTTACAAGTTAGGGTTCAAAATTCACTGTACGGCACGGTTCAAATAAGATTCGCTTTCGCGAAGGCAAATCAAACGTTCACACAATTCTAATAAATAGTGAACTTATATGACCTACTCTTATATACTTATGGCTACTTTTAACGTCTCTTTTTCTACTGGCACAGATCATTTCTGTTACACAATATTGTTGCACAAATTAAATCGCCGATGCTTCGCACTTCCACTCGTTTATAGTTACAGTTTTCTTGTTGTTTCTTTTTTGATTGCTTACTTTCCTTCAGAGAACTTCTCTCTTAAACTCTTAATCTTGTGAACAAAATAAGTTTCTAAGGATTCTGCACACTTAAAGAAAGGTGACTCCTTCGGATTATAATAACGACAGTTGTCAAATATTTTCGTCATATCTCCAATAAATTCACTTAACTTCTTGTAAGATCTGTCATTTATCCTCAATTCTATCGTTTGTAGATCTGTAAACACAATTAGTAAAAATATAATGTAATGTCTCATTAAAATGCGACCGTAAGATTTCGATATAATGATGGAAATTATGAAATTAACTATGACTAGTCTAGAAATTAGTTTACTTTGTACTTGTGTTTTGAATATAAAATAATACTTACCCATCGGTTCCTTGATAACCTTATAGTAGTCTGGTGCTTCGTTTGGGTCTACTGGCTCCATAAATGGCCAAGCACTCTTATGTGCCTGAATATTTAAATTTGTAATATTAATGATCAAATTCAAAACACTACCTACAATTTATGTTATTGTTTGTAACTATCTTACCTGTATTTGTTTAATTAATTTCTTTAAGAGATCAAGATCCTTTGCGTTAAGATTTTTCATGTTAGCAAAATTAACAGAAGAGTTTCGTTGACAATTCGGACAAACGTACTCATCGATGTTGTCCGCTTCCGATTGTAAAATACCCACACACCGACCATGGAACCAATCTTGACATTTATCGCAGCAAATATAAAATCT